TGAGAAGATGCCACGTGATAGAATTTGAAGAAAGGTGGGAGATGATTAACCATAACCATATTTGAAAAGAAGAGATAATCGTTTGACTAATTAATTAGATAGTCGTCGATTAAGACAGAATCGTCTAAGGCAATGGTTATAAATGGTATATAGTGGAGAAGATGAATAATATATTCTAACTCCCAAAAAGACCCACAATATGGGCCTTTTTAAGAGTAGTTTAGATTAGTTTTACAATGTAGTTACTGCTACAATTGAAGTAGTTAATCAAGTTTTTCTATGATCGAAGTCCTTTCGACTGAAGTAATAAAATAATTCTCTTTTACTAGTTCCCAGTACTATGTGGTTGTCTATTAAAATTCATCTAAGGAAGTCATAAAATAAGACATTTGAACCCATTATAAGTAATTGTCCGAAAACTGTCTATCGATCAAATCTCCTCTGTCGATAGCAATAGATTTTGGTACAATAAATGACGAGATAAATCTGCATACATTTCACTATATCCAGACCATGGGACCCCCTTTTTGTTTGCAGCAAAAGACGACATAGTGAATTTAAGTAACCACGTCTGCTAAGTTTTCTGGTCAGTTCCAAGTCATTTTCTTAAATCCACTATGTGTACACTCAGATTCTTTGTACTAATTTACATTGTCTGGAATTGAGAAAGATGGCTGCAAGGCTTCAACTACTGTGTGCTTTATTGTTTTTTCCTTCAAGTTTTTTGATTATTTTCTTTGATCTTGATAATGGGTGGGACCTGCCGTTTCCAGCTAAATCCATGATTAACTATCTGTTTGGGGAACTGATTTGGGTCCCCCACAACCATCCAAAATCAAAAGTGTTCCAAACCTCATGATTTTGTTTATGATAAGAAGTTTCATGATTATGTCATGCACTTAGCAAAGTTGATTGAAAGAGATCACGTCAAAATAGGTGATTTGAGATGAGATTAAGGTGCCTAATCTACGTATTTAGCCCCGCATCGTCAAGAGAGAATTGAACTAACTATCTCTGCGGACAAAACAAACAATATCTTGATAGTGGAGCCGAGTCATGTTACATGGTTTTTCTCTTCATACGTTGTTATATGTTGATCTTCTTTAGTTAGTATGTGTCTCAATTCAAACCCCCNCTTGATAGTGGAGCCGAGTCATGTTACATGGTTTTTCTCTTCATACGTTGTTATATGTTGATCTTCTTTAGTTAGTATGTGTCTCAATTCAAACCCCCTTGTCAAGGTAATGCTAGACCCTTCTCTCTCTCTCTCTCACACACACACACACACACTCTCTCTCTCTCATACTAGAAAGGGTATGTATTTTTCTTTGCATCATCCTCCTCTCCCATGCCTTACATGTGCAACCATGTTATCCAAATGGTGTGCCTCGAAAAAAAAAAAAAAATGCATGTTAGCATGCACATGGCTTTAGTACTCTGCTTATAGGCCAAATGGTGTGCTTGCACCTCCCCCCCCACCAAAAAAAAAATGTTAGAGTAGCCTTTCCCGCAGTCGTAGTTTTGTTAATCTAAAACCCTGTAGGACCACAATTTGAAGAGCATTTGTTGCATCTCTTGAAGAAACCATCTAGGCAGTTCTTCTATTACCTAATGGACTTGTTTTTATGAGAGCTCAAGATCCTATGCATCATGGAATCAGAATTTTCCCTATTTTANCATTTGTTGCATCTCTTGAAGAAACCATCTAGGCAGTTCTTCTATTACCTAATGGACATGTTTTTATGAGAGCTCAAGATCCTATGCATCATGGAATCAGAATTTTCCCTATTTTCGTAGGGCCAGCGACTTAAACTAATACGGTGAAGGTTCCGAGACAATATTTGATTGCCATTAAGATTTTCCAGATTAGAAAGTAAAAGCTATGGTGATTCTGTTTAGACCATGTATTTTTTATCAGGCTGTTTCCAAAACATTTGCAAATCCAAACTCACAGGGATTGACTTCTTAATTTCAGCTAGCACTTGGAAAACAACCAATTTCCTAATCAATTCCAAGTTTCCTCGTCAATTTCTATTTCTGTCGAAGTTATGAACACTTTGATCTAAATTAACAGTCTTAAACAGTGTTTTGGTTGATAATCTGGTTGCTTCAAGTACCATAGAGCCCCTTAGCTGCATCCTCTGCGGCTGTTTTATTTTTTGACCAAGGATTGCCAATACACTCCAAAATATTAATGGAATCTCAATAAGAATCGATTTCTTTGACCATGGGTTGCCAATACACTCGAAAATATTAATCGAGTCTTGATAAAAACCTTGAAAGCAAAACTGTGTAAATCTTAGAGTAGTTTTGTTTTTAGTTTAAAACTGAATACGTGGGAGCCTTTATATCATTAGCTGCTCTATTATAAAGGTTAATTTAACAGAGACATGTCCAAACTCTCAAGGACATAGAGCAGGCAAAGTGATCGAAAAGATGACAACTTTGAAGCCATGGATTGCTTGAGAATGGCTCAAGGATTATCAAGCAACTAGAACCTCGTTATATAGACTCTTAAGCTCAAGATCATAATCATCATACAATAATTCTGGTAATATTATAATAGAATGAGTCAGTAAAATATAGCAAATGTAACAGTCAAAATTAATAAAGAATGAAAAACTGAAATTAAAACCAACGTGAAATCCTAAATATGAAACTTTTAACAAGAAATTGACAAATAAAGTGGGGTTTTAATAATCAGGGAAAAAAAAGTATAATAAAATTCTACCAAAACTGTTCTCTATCACCTCACCATAGATGCTGCGTCCTGAATTTCATATCATAGGTGCTTGTCTCCTGATTGTGTGAGTGCCAATGACAGTTCCTGCACAACAATATAATCCTGAACATTGATCATAGCAGTAACCCAAACAGCTGCTGGAGTAGTAATCATAGCACTCATCATACACAATCATCCCACACATCTCCGCTTTCAAAAACTTGACTAATTCTGCTAGGATTACCAGGAATGGAGACTATGCACTCTATATGTTCAGGGAAGATGAATTTTGTATGTTGTGAAGGAGCTTAATACACTCAAGGGGCAAGTCAAATCAGTGTGAAGCTCAAGCGTCTGGAAATTGAGACCATTCGACAACACTACATATATTAAAAGTCCAAGAGCATGACATAGATTAGTTGGCATTCCGCAGAAGAAGTTGAAAGAGAGGAGTGAGGGAAATAAGAAAAGAAAACCATTATTTCTCTCCCTTTTACTTTTCGTGTTTCATTTTTTGATTTGGTGGAGGATGATGATAAAAGGGCTGGGAATAATCCAACAAATGAGATTCATTGATCCAAGGTTGGAAATGGAGATCATATATAGGAACTAGGACTAGATGGTACTGTTTTATAGAAAACTTGTATTTTTCATTCACAATTCCATTTTTGTTTATGATACTTGGTCTCAGTTTGATCGTACTTTTGGTTCATGTTGTTACTAAAAACGGAGGAGGAAACAATATTACTGCAATATTTATCAATGATAGGTTTTTTTTTTTTTTCTTACCTTATCAAAACTGATGCTTACTACTGAGTAGATAAATATTCGTGTGTGCACGTTGCTTGTGCAAGATCTTAGACCATCACTTACTGGACAAATATCTTTCATAAATATTTAACCACTTCCACGCTTTTAATGTTAAAATGCTTTTTTAGTCTAAACCACATTCAACTCCAACTTAAGCAAGATTTCTTCTACCTATTCAAGCTCAAAATTTTTGACATTTGGTGTAAGCTATTTATATTTTTTCTAATGGAAGAATTTCTGGCTGGTAGAGAATCCCTCTTTTCTGTTCTATTAGCTAATGGACATGTTTCTCAAGTGCTCAAGATCCTACGTGTCATACATCAGATTTTCCCCTTTTTTCTGCTCAGTCTGAATTCATTTAAATGTTCCAGGTCAGTAAATAGAAAGGTCTGGTGGTTCTGTTCCAGACCATCTATGTATTATATGTACATCCAACTTAAAATCAATTAGCAATGAATTGAGAGGTCCGCAAAGTTCATATACTAGTCTATAAGAGTATAAGGTGTTATTGTTTTAATGAAAGGTCAAGTTTTATTACACTCCACATGTGCAACTCTTGTTCGGGTGAGAAAAATTAGACAATGTCAGTTAACAAGGAGACCTTTATGAAACAAACAAAGGGAGCATCACTTACTGTGAAATGGATTGAGAGTCTTGTCCAAAAGCCTCCTAAGGCCAAGCTCAGATCCCATGTTTGATGCATCCAACTTATTATTGTTAACGAGGAGTGGTAAAGAGCTACCATTAATTCTTCATCCCTAAGCAAAACAGTGTGCCTTGAAGAGATGCAGTATGGAGATCCCCACCAATTCCTGACCCCCAAACAAAGGGACCCATCAATGCGTTTCTTCACTTGGAGAAAAGGAAGCAGAAGGTTCAGATATCCATCTACAATAATTACTACCTTATTTTACACATCAGAACTTTCTGCTCTGCGCAGTGTCCTCCCAGTGTAGGCTAAACTGCACACTTTATGTCAAACTCAATAATCAAATCTGTTCAAGTAACTAAACAATAATGAAATTATGATTCATGCAGATATAAACTACCAAAAAGTGCTCTCACAACAGGAACATTAACTTGGATAGAGTTGGTATGTCGGTCTATGAGACACATAATCGTTGTCCAACTCAAAACAACAGCCACCCATAGTTAGAGGCAAAACCTGTCTAGCATGAAACTAATCCTGAAAATCTCAAGGACGAAGTGCTGGTAAAATAATAAAAAATATGATAAAATATAAAGAATGTGTAATATAGCTTGAAAATGACTCAAGGATCATCCATTCAGCAATGGGGACCTCTCAAGCTCAAAACCTTAACAATCATCTATTAATTCTAGTAATATCATACTATCATTCAAATAAACCATATTGTAGTAAAACGAGTCACTAAAATAAAACAAATGCAATGGTCAAAACTTACATAGATTAGAATCTTAAACTAGAACCAAAAAAAAAAATCATGGACAGGGCTTATTAAAAGTCTCGAAACTATTAACAAGAATCTGAAAAGTAAAGTGGATTTTAATACCATTCTAAACTAAAACTAAAAGTTGAATTGTCGCTATAAGCTCACCATGGATGCAGCCTCCTACATTTCATCATACATGCTCGTCGCCTCGTTATATGAGTACCATTGTCCTGTTGCTGCACAACAATACAATCCTGAAGATGGATCATAGTAGTAACCCACACTACTACAGCAGTAGTAACCAGAGGACTCATCATACACATGATCACTCTGCAAATCCCCACTTTCAGAAGCTTGACTAATCCCACTAAAATTAGCACCAGCAACCAACTTTCTCCCACCAAAACCTGTATCGGCATTAGGGTTTTGATCATCTTCCCCAAACATATCGAATGTATCGTCGTCATTGCTTGGATCAGTAGAAACATTCAGAGTAGAATCAGAAATTTTCTGACCTGCACTGGTTGAGTCACCCTGCCCCTCTGCCCTATCCTATACTTCTGCTTCTCGCTGAAAAATCTCTTGCTTGTAGTCATAGACATTGCAATCGCCATTCTCCATCAGCTTCATGGCATCTTCAGTCAACTGATCAAAGAGAATCTTGGTTTCCGGCGACATCTTCTCCTTCCTATTATTTGAATTTCCTTTCAATCTCTTCAAAGCTTGTAAAACCGTCTCTCCAGTCTCAAGAACATCAGCGATTCGCTTCTTAATCTTTCCAGAGTCTTCGGAAGGAAGGTCGGGAGTTTCGTCTTCACTCTTTGTTCTTGTAGAATTTCTTTCAGTGTCCATTGCTTCATCGATCTCACTATCACACATGAATTCGACAAAATTTCCTGAATCATCGAAATACCCTTCTTCTCTCTCTTCCGTCAAATTGAAAGGTTCAATCCGAATCCCATCCTGAACAAAAGTATCATCATCATCATACTGCACTTCTGCTCTTGTTATCTCATCAGTCATTCCTCTATTTTCTTCCCTAAGGAGTTCGGCGTTAAACTGATCCCTCCGAATCTCGCGCTCTTTAGCAGCAAGACGACGACGTTCTCTCCTCCCACCCGGAACATCTTCTCGTGAAATCTCATCACTAATTCGTCGATTCTCTTCGAGAAGTTGATCGGCGGAGATCTGATTCCGCCGCATTGCACGATCTCTGGCAGCAACACGAGGATCTATCGACCCACTCGAAACATAATCAGAATTTAGGCGATGATCCATCCCATAATTCTCTTCATTCACCTTTTTACCTTTCGGAAAGCGAATTCATTTTCGCGAGGTGGTTTTGTTGGAGTCATCATCATCATCTTCTTCTTCTTCGAGGGGACGCTTGCCGTCGTATCGCGATGGCCTCTCTCTCATGGTGTTCGGTTGATCCTACTGAACCTCGCAACGTGTATGGAAATTCTTTGTGTTTCTCGAAGAAAAACGTAGAAACAGAAAATCTATTCACAATGAAATCTTGCGCTACAAGCAAAGAAAGAAGAAGACTCCTTAAATCTATATACATCAGAATCCTAATTCTCATAAGAAACTAACCTTTAAAAACATCCCGTATGGTGTGGGTTAGGGATCGGGATTATCGGGTGCACCTCTCTAATATATATATATATATATATATATATTAAAAAATATTATTTAAATTTAATTTAGTTGTTTAATCTAATGGATCATAACTGTTAAATTGGTAACAGATTGTAATTAATATCGGAATCTACTATTAATGATAATATTTCATTAACTCAAAAAATTATATTAGTAAAATAGGGTAGAAAATAAGATTAACCCCATATTTAAACATATAGATAATTGGATCAGAACTTATTTGACTTTAAGTATTACCTCTAAACTTATATTCTATTAATTTCACTTGTTCATCAAATAGTTGTCAACAAACACACATTTTAAAACATTTTAAATTCTTTTTGAATTGTATTCCATAATTACCATTACCATCAATATTGTATATCATTGTTAGTTTTAATATTTTCAAATATAACAACTTTTAACTTGAAAATTGTTTTAGCATTAAACTTAATATATATATATATATTTATTTATTTATATANTATTTTCAAATATAACAACTTTTAACTTGAAAATTGTTTTAGCATTAAACTTAATATATATATATATATTTATTTATTTATATATGTATATATTAAATAGTAACACGCTCAACAAAAAAATAGTAACATTAAACTGCTCAATAAATAATTTAATTAAAAATTTAATTATTACAAAAAAGTGACATCATATGTGAATATTTATTCTGTTGTGGGGGGTCATTCTATTACAATGATTAAATTTTTAATTCAGTTTTTAATTGAGCATGTTACTGTTTAATGTTATTATTTTTTTGTTAAACGTGTTACTATTTGATGTTACTAATTTTTTTTTTTTTGAGTTTGTTACTGTTTAATATTACTATATATATAGATATGATAAAAATATAAT